ACCCTAGAGAACGCCCACATGTGATGCCGAGACTCCATGATTGAAAGAGGCGGGGCCAAGGGACAGTCACGTTGGGGAGGGAAGCACCAGATGATGGAGGGGCAGAGACACAAACTACTGGAGGAAATCTCACCATTGTGGGAGGGGCAGAGACACAAACTACTGGGGGGAAATCTCACCATTGTGGGAGGGGCAGAGACACAAACTACTGGAGGAAATCTCACCATTGTGGGAGGGGCAGAGACACAAAGTACTGGGGGAAACCTCACCATTGTGGGAGGAGCAGAGACACAAACTACTGGGGGAAATGTCACCATTGTGGGAGGGGCCAAGACACAAACTACTGGGGGAAATCTCACCATTGTGGGAGGGGCAGAGACACCAACTACTGGAGGAAATCTCCTCATTGTGGGAGGAGCAGACAAAGTATTTTGGGTGGAGTTGAACTTTAAATGAATAGAAATATAGGGATTTAGGATAAAATGTTTCTTGTGAAGAATGTTTAGCAGAGAAGGCTCCTCCCCCTTCTATGAGGTTATACTCCTCCAGGTGGACATGCGTTGGAGATAATTTGGGGGCTTCGAGGCGACGTCGGGGGTCAATAACAGGAAACACGCTGCAAGTTTTCTCGTTTATTAAAGAATTTTAGTAACATTTTAGCAACTAGAAGGTTCCGTGGTAAGTTGCTTATAAATAACATTTCAAACGTTTATATCGTCTTCACCTGACAAACTGTCCAAAATATTAACAAAAAACCCAAATCAGGTGTTATAGCGGCGGACAGAGCCAGAGAAATGTTATGTGAGCCGGCCGAATTCTGGTCTGATCCGATCTCAGGGACACATACGTGGAACATACAGACAGCGGCCATCATGCCCAGATCACATGACATCGGGACACGCCCCCCAGGAGGGGCCAGAGAGCAACATAAGGCAATATTCTGTATACTCTGAAAAGGTGCATTTACCTCCATGACCCGGCCCACGTGGCCCCCTCCCATCACATGACCCGGCCCACGTGGCCCCCTCCCATCACATGACCCGGCCCACGTGGCCCCCCTCCATCACATGACCCACCACAGATGCTGCGTCACATCTATCTCAGACATTCTGTGGCCCTTCATCCTGCTGGTATTTCCTCCCCTCCCCCTCCGACATATTTAAATAAATCCAGTTTCAGGTTTTGTTCTATACCCTGCGACCATCACCGTGTGTCTGTGCTTCTCTATGCAATGCAGGCAGATCATGGCTGGTGGGAGGGGCCAGCAGTGGGCTGTACACATCACCCTGCCTCAGCACTCCTCCCAAGAGTCCACAGCCATGATGCAGGCAGTGGGTGGGCTCTAGGGAGGAGTTATGCAAATATGGAAATGCCTTGATGGGTGGGGTCAGTGTGGGCGTTACCAGGCAGGATGTATTTGCACACAGACCACCCTAGAGAACGCCCACATGTGATGCCGAGACTCCATGATTGAAAGAGGCGGGGCCAAGGGACAGTCACGTTGGGGAGGGAAGCACCAGATGATGCTGGACGTCCTGCAGCCAGGAAATGGGGCGGAGCTCTATCTGACTTGCTGCTGCTTCTGATGCACGCTGTGAGGAGCTCCCGATGTGCAGTGACATCAGAGGAAGAGGGGAGGAGCCGGTACAACTGTGCAAGACTGAAGGAGGGGGCGGGGGGGTCACAGAAGACTGAAGGGAAGGCGGAGTTTGTATGAGGGTGGGGCAATGAAGGGAAGGCGGAGTTTGAATGGGAGGGTGGGGCACTGAAGGGAAGGTGGCGTTGGAATGGGAGGGCGGGGCAATGAAGGCAAGGCGGAGTATGTATTAGAGGGTGGGGCAATGAAGGGAAGGCAGTTTGAATGGGAGGATGGGGCAATGAAGGGAAGGCGGAGTTTGCATGGGAGGGCGGGGCACTGATGGGAAGGCGGAGTACAGATTAAAAGGAAAGGTCCCGACTATAAATGCGCTTCCCCTCCTAAGGTGGACCGGTGATGATGACAGAGGCGGCCATTGTGAAAACCCGACCACTATGCAGAAAGTGAAGTCACAGAAGTGGGTTGCGGTTTAAGGATGGCCACGCCCACAATCAGTCCATCATATAGAACCCAGAGACATGTAAAGCACAAACACTGCGACATGGCAGCAGATGGAGAGATAACTCCGCCTCAGTCTTCTCAGAACGCAGTTCGGTTCCGGTAAACGCACCTTCACGCCATTGGCCGCCTCTCTGGGGTGCCGCCATTGAAGTATTTTTGGCTCTCTGTATAGAACAGATCTGGTGGGGGAGTTGTACGACGCCACCCTCTATGTGGTGACACCGCCGTCCTCGGGGCGCCCGCGCAGTCACTCGGCACGCTGGACATTCAGTATGGCTTCAGTGAGTATCGTACGATCCGCCGACTTCCAACTCAAAGGCATCGAACATTATTGCAGAAAAAGTTCCATCGCGGCGAGATTATAAAATGGGGAAAAACCGCCATTGTCGGAAACCGCGTCTAACCCCGACCGTCTCCGGGAGAACGCAGAAACCGCGTCCAACCCCGGGAGAACGCAGAAACCGCGTCCAACCGCGACCGTCTCCGGGAGAGCACAGAAACCGCGTCCAACCCCGGGAGAACGCAGAAACCGCGTCCAACCCCGGGAGAACGCAGAAACCGCGTCCAACCGCGACCGTCTCCGGGAGAACGCAGAAACCGCGTCCAACCGCGACCGTCTCCGGGAGAGCACAGAAACCGCGTCCAACCCCGGGAGAACGCAGAAACCGCGTCCAACCGCGACCGTCTCCGGGAGAACGCAGAAACCGCGTCCAACCGCGACCGTCTCCGGGAGAAGGCAGAAACCGCGTCCAACCGCGACCGTCTCCGGGAGAAGGCAGAAACCGCGTCCAACCGCGACCGTCTCCGGGAGAAGGCAGAAACCGCGTCCAACCGCGATCGTCTCCGGGAGAAGGCAGAAACCGCGTCCAACCGCGA